AGTCGTTATCTATTAGTTGATTATTTAAAATACTGCGTTAGGAATTAAGACATTTATGTTGAAATTAAGTGTCCTTGGAGGGATTTGTATTAGGGATCATCATTCAAGTTGAGATATATTAGGGACTGAGATATCAATCTTAGATCTCAGTCTTTTTGCTTTGATAACTTGGTTGAGGTTTATTGGGTAAGGCATTAATCCAGGAATTTAAGCGTCGTCCATCAAACTATACTTATCATGAAATGATATTAAGAGGATATGAAAGAAACTAAAGCAATAGTTTTAGCAGATTAAGTCTCCGATTTGCAAGAAATAGTAACTTGAAGCCAGCAATTAGAATCAAATTTATCTCGAAAATTTAATTTAACATGTTTACAATATATTTAAAAAAATTGTTCATTTCCTGTTTAAATAATATCACAATTTTAAAAAAAAGTTTCAAACGCGAAAGCACCTGAAGTTTTCAAACAATATTGAATTTACGGAATTAAAAAGGCTTTTTGAGGATAGAATACTTGATGGATGGGTATTTTTTTTAAAACTGGTAGTTTGAGGGATAATGATTGCAGGTGATTGTTTAAAAATTTGAAAATTCTGTACTTTCTAACAGGGCTCTTAATATAATGAAATCTTGTAAGGGTGTGTGTCGAAAATTAATAATGCGTTAAAAAGATAGTATTATATCATGTGTTATGTGTTAAAATAAGCTATATAACTGAATAAAATATAATATACCCAAATCTCAAAAATGGAATAAAATATAGTAGGAGGATCACGTGCATGCAAGATATTGAACAGGAAAAATATATATTAAGTAGTAGAAATTTGGATTGCACTTAATCCTTATAAATGTTAAGTGAAATGAATATAAATGAAAGATGTAGAAATATCAAAAATAAGGTATCAAGGTTATTATTTAGATTTAGGAATAGACATATAGAGTTTAAAAAAAATATCACTATGTTCAGGTAGAATAAATAAAGAATCAAATATCGTCGCTAAAAATGCTTAAAAAAGAATAATTAAAAATATAGCATCATTTTTTAAATAAGCTATAACAGGAGAAAATATATTAAATTGTATAACTTGGATAGCACTTTATCTTTATAAAAGTTGTGTGAAATGATTATAGATAGATATTATCAACAAATTCGGTATTAAGGTTATTATCAGGATTTATGTAAAATATCAAAAGTATATCACTATGTTCAGTTAGAGAAGATATGAATCAAATATGGAGATTCGAAAAGAATGTGCATATTGGTTTTGCGGATGCATATGAAAGATGAGAGGGGTTTTTCAATATCAATGAGATGGTTATATGGATTATCGTAAATAAAATAAAAAGGTTATTAAAAATGAACAAGGAATAAAGGGAATGAATTATATTACTGTGTAAATCATTTAGAAGAAAGTAATATGATGAATATTATTTTCAAAACAAAAAATGGTCTAATCAAAAAAAGAAAAGGTCCAATCAAAAAATGAAAAGTATCAATCAAAAAAAGAAAATTTGCAAAAGGAAAGGATAAGTGTCAATCAAAGATGGACAAAATTCCTCAATAAAAGAAACGTCATTTTTTAAAATATTTTTATAAAAATTATAAATTTTTTTTTTGTCAATTTTCTTAAATTTTTAGTTTTTTTATTTTTTTTCTTATTTTATTAACCTTTTGCAATCTCTTATGATACTCTCCAATATTTATTTTATTTATCCTTTCTCAATTGTTTTTATCTTCTCATCTTTGATTATTCTCTTTTGCATTTTTAAAAATACTTTAATATCCCTATTATTTTACTTCACTTTTTATTTTATGTATTTTTATGTCATTCTTAACAATTCATTTCCATTATATATTTATTTTTAATTTAAGAAATAATTTATAATAAACAATATTAATTTCCATTTTTCTAAATTTTGGAATATAGGTCTCCATATTTCTAAAATAATTTTTTACATTCTCCTCAGATCATCTCCTTCCATGCTCTGTAGAAACAAATTAATTCCTCCTCGTATTAGGATTTAGTTTCTGACAAAGGGATATTTGGTAGTAAATATTTTGTTATATACCCTCTTCTTTCTAACGATTCGCCAATTGTATTGTTATGTTGAAATGGAATATTATCCATCATAAAAATTATATTCATCATATTACTTTCTTCAAAATGAGATGGTATTTCAGTTACAAATTGGCTAAAGTGTATAGCGTTACAAGGGCTATCTTGAATCTGAATATCCCCGCGATAGCAGCAATGATAATTAATTAATTGCCTTTATACCTTGTACATTTTTTTAATGACCTTTTTATTTTATTTATGAATATCCACATAACTTGTCTCATTGAAAAATTGCTCTCATCGATAAAATAAATTTTTCTTTTATATAGACTTCATCCACATGGGTATTCTTTGCATATTTTAGTACATAAAGCTGTATTTATGATAATATACTTTTTTAAGCGCCAGCCAAATATTAATAAAAAAAATTTGAATGCCAAATAGATTAAAAATATAAGGAGAAAAAAAAACATAAAATACAAAAAATTATAAAGTAGGATGAAAAAAAAGGAAAAAGAATGGTTAAAAATGACATAAAATGGAGAAGTGAAGAAAATTAAAATACCAAATAAATAAATTATTTTTAAAAATACAAAAAAGAATTATCAAAAATGGAAAAAAAATAAATGAAAAGATTAGAAAAATAAGGATTTAAAATATGACTTAAAGAGAAATAAAATAAGAAGAAAAAATGTAGAGAACTAAAAATTTGAAAAATTGACTATTTTGCTTTTTGAATGAGAATTTCCTTTCCTTTCGGGAATTTTCTTTTTTTGATTGGACCTTTTCCTTTTTGTTTCCTTTTTTGTTTGACATACATTGTTTTTTTGATCGGACTTTTTTTTAAGCCTTTCGGACTTTTCCCTTTTTTGATTGGGCTTTTTCCTTTGATTGACATTTTTCCATTTTTGATTATAACATTTCCTTTTTTGGATGGGGGATTCTGTAATTACAAATTAATTCAATTATCGGATTATTTTAAGAGCTTAAATAAAATAAGTGTTATTAGAAAGATCTTTAAAAGAATTTGATATTCGCATTAAGAAAATCCTTCCGCCGAATATCCGAGGATTATAGGATTATAAGATTGCTTTATCAAAATATATTAAATTATATAAGGATTATATTAAAATTTGTTTATTTAAATAAGAAAGTAGCTTCTGAAGAGGCAATATATAAAAAAAAATTATTTTCAAATGGAGTTAAATGTATATTTAAGATTAAATAATATAATATTTGAATCGAAATCTTAAAATTTATTTATTACAAGAAGAACATTTATGAAATTTATTATTTGAATCATTATTTATAAATTTTATATAGTGAACCATTCAGAATACAAAGTGATGTCAAATATTTTGTAATTTTAATAAATTTCAATCTTCATATTGTTTTATTAAAATATATTAAATACATAATAAATTAAAATTAAAATTTGTCTAGTGTCAATATTTAAAATATAATGTTTTATAATAAAATATAGTTAAATTATTTAATATCAAATAAAATTTTACCTGTCGATGGACTATAACCTATTACAAGAATAAAAATTGAAGGAGAATTTATAAATAAAGTTTTTCAGTACAGATTAAAAGTGTCGTGAAATCCTCAAAAATAAGATAAAAAAACCTTTATTTATATAATTTTAAATTTATATTTCTTTTATAACAATCATTTTTTTTTATTTTTATGCTGAAAATTTTTATTAAATCAATATATATTTCATTTTAAAAGAAATTGATTTTATTAAAAATAAATAAATCTCTAAAAAACCTTCAATATTTTTTACAAAAAATTTTATAGCCAGCTGATATCAAATAAGCAACAATTGTCCAGATTTAATCTTTTATTTTAAAATTGTTTTTGGCATTATAATTATGTATTAATATTTTAAGACATTTGACCTCTAATATTAGCATATAAATTCTTGATCCATTTTTTTTAAAATTGAACTCGATATTTTTAATTTCTAACTTAACTTAAAATAAAAATCCCGATTTTCAAACAACGTTATTTTTAAATAAATTTTGGCCTCATTTTACCCTATCTACATAATGGTATATTTCACAAATAACCCTGCGATTCTTAGCCTAAATGTTATATTCGACATTTACTCCGAAAAAATTATTTTCTGAACTATATTTGGATAAAATGCCTGCCGAATTAGTGGCAAAATTAGATAATTTCATTTTATATGTTGTGAGAAAGGGTCTCGGCAAAATTGTAAACACAGTGCCTACCCCAGGAATCAATATTTGTTCACAATGTTTTGATTTAATTGGTCCGCTAGCGAATCAGTTCATATCTGTGAAAATATCAAATTGAGATTATTATAGTATGGACTAGAAGAAATTCGTAAACATATTTTTGGTCATAGTAAAAAAAATTGTGATCGTCATTATTAAGGTTCGATTAAGGGCATTCGGAACCTTTATTGAATATATTCTCTCAGCATAAAACGAGAAGTTTTTATATGATATATAATTTATTGGATGCAAACTTCCCTAATATTTGGCCTTTTTCTATTAAAAAAATAACTGTTATATCTAGTTTATTGAATAGCGAAAATTAATACTTAAATTTAAATGGAAATAAAGACATACAATAAAGTAATTCAGGATTAAGATAATTTATTATAATAGTTGACAAGTATATATAAAATGATTTAATTATAGGAAAAAATATTTTGTTTATTTTCTCTGCATTGACGTAATATAATAATAGATAATAATATTGTTTTATCAAATAATAGAATTGCATTTTTAAACATCATAGTACTTTAAATGTACTATAATATAAACACACACTGTCGAAATGTTTAGAAAAGATACCGAATTGATGTTATTACAATTTTATAAGTTTCTAAAGGAGGAAGAATACAATTATGAAGTACATTTTGTCAAAAATGTACCATTTTCCCATTCTTTAAACTCCAATATCAGATGCGAGTAACTGGAGGTATGAAGCAATTTTATTATTTTCTTAGTTATAGCTTATAAGTATACAAAATTTAAAATATTTTTTAGGGGTTTGGGTTAAAACCTTGGTTGATTTGATATGGAATTAACAATAAATATATATAATGATTATTAATTATAAAGCAAAAAAATATTTTATTACCTTCATCTGCATAGACATAATAAAAAATTAGTTATTAAATTTTTTATCAAATAGAGTTTTTAAACATCATATATTACTTTAAATGTAATGAAATATTATCCAAAAATTAGTTTAATTTTAAGTAGTGATAAAGACATAATACATTTTTGGAAAATTGGAAATAAAGTGATAGTTATTAAAAATAAATTATAGGTTAGTAGATAATAGACAAGACAGTAAACACAGTGCCTACCCCAGGAATCAATATTTGTTCACCATGTTTTGATTTATAATACAAGAACTTCCCAGTTATGATTTGGTCCAATAACAAAATTTAAAAAAAAATTAATCAAACGCGCATAAAACGCATTTTAATTTAAGATTTTTCTTTATCATTGTTCAAACGTATTGCCGTATAGTTCTTTATCCTTTAAAAAATCGAATTCTTAAAGGGATTTATTAAAACACGTGATGATCCCGGATAGTTCTGATCCCTTTAAAAATTAACATATATATAAAATGATTAATAATTATAAAGATAAATAATATTTTATTACCTTCATCTGCATAGACATAATAAAAAATTAGTTATTAATAATGTTTTATCAAATAGAGTTTTTAAACATCATATTTACTTTATAAATGTAATGAAATATTATCCAAATATTAGTTTAATTTCAAGTAGTGATAAAGACATAGTACATTATTGGAAAATTGGAAAAGTGATAGTTATTTCAAATAAATTATAGATTGGTAGATAAAATAATAATAAATACAAAGTGAGAATATTTATTTTTTTACCATCTAACATATCAACTAATATTGAAATATTTAGGATTAAAAATGATTTAATAAAATATATGATCTTTCTATTTTTTGATATTAAACATTAGTAGAAATATGGTCATAACTTTATTTAAGAGCTTTTAAAGGAAAAATGATACATTAATATTTGAGTAGGTAGTATTACAGATTATAAATGTAAAAGGGATTTTGAAAAATAAAATAATATTTCCATAGAAATAAAGTTATCGGATAATTTTTTGAATGATTTGGGAAAATAAACAATATATGTTTTTGGAAAACCTAAATATTATCAAAATTCGCTTTAAGTTATACCCAAATCGAGATAATTTTTTAAATTCATTTCTTCTCTCCATTATCTAGCTTCGAGGACCTAAAGTGATGATGCATTTTAATAGCACTTAAAAAATATTTTTATGAACTATATTTAAATAAAATATGTACTCAAAAATTCGTGAAATTATCTTTGGTTTACTAAGTAAAAAAAATGTGTTAGTCATTATTAAGGTTCAATTAATGGCATTCATCGGAACCTTTATTGAATATATTCTCTCTAAAACAAGAAGTTTTTATATGATATATTATTCATGATGCAAATTCGCATATTTCTACTAAAAAAATAACTGATATATCTAGTTTTTTGAATAGAGTAAATTAATACTTAAATTTAAAAGGAAATAAAGACATAAGAATGAAAGTAATTCAGGATTACCTTGATAAGGATAATTTAATAAAATAGCAAGTATATATATAAAATACTTTAATTATAGGAAAAAATATTTTATTTAATTTTCTTTGCGTTTTATCAAATAATAGAATTGCATTTTTAAACATAGTACTTTAAATGTACTATAATATGAACACAGAAACCACTCTCAGAATGTTTATAAAAAATACTGAATAGATTTTATTACAATTTTATAATATCGATTTTTATAAGAAGGAAGGAAATATAATTATAAAGTACATTTTCTCAAAAATGTACCATTTTTCTATTCTTTAAACTCCTATATCATAGCGAGTAATTGGAGGTATGAAGCAATTTTAATATTTTCTTAGATATAGCTCATAAGTATACAAAATTTTAAAATATTCTTAGGGGTTTGGGTTAAAACCTTGGTTGATTTGATATGGAATTAACGATATATATATAAATATAATGATTATTAATTATAAAGCAAAAAAATATTTTATTACCTTCATCTGCATAGACATAATAAAAAATTAGTTATTAAATGTTTAATCAAATAGAGTTTTTAAACATCATATATTACTTTAAATGTAATGAAATATTATCCAAAAATTAGTTTAATTTTAAGTAGTGATAAAGACATAAAACATTATTGGAAAATTATAAAGTGATAGTTATATAAAATAAATTATAGATTGGTAGATAATAAATAATAAATTACAAAGTGATAATATTTATTTTTTACCATCTGAGATATCAATTATTATTAAAATATTTAATATTAAAAATGATTTAATTTTATATGATTCTTCTATTTTTCATGTTTATAACACCATAAATATAACTAAGGATATAAGAGAATATCTTTCAGAATACATAATTGTAGACAATAGTAGAAATATGGTTATAACTTTATTTAAGGGTTGTTAAAGGAAGATATATTAAAATTTGAGTAATATCCATAATGTCGATAAATGTAAAAGCGATTTTGAAAAATATAATAATATTTCCATAGGAATTAAGTTATCGGATAATTTTATGAATGATTTGTGAAAATAATGCGGGAGGTAGATTGCTAAGTAACAATATATGTTTTTGGAAATATACCTAAAAATAGTTACACCCATATCGAGATATTTTTTTAAATTCATTTCTTTCCTCTATTATCTAGCTTCGAGAACCTAAAGTGATGATAATAGCACTCGAAAAATATTTTTATGAACTATATTTGGATAAAATGTCTGCCGAGTTAGTGGTAAAATTAGATAATTGCATTTCGTATGTTGTCAGAAATAGTCTCGGCAAAATCGACAATAAAGACAGTGCCTACCCCAGGAATCAATATTTTTTCACCATGTTTTGATTTATAATACAAGAATTTACCAATTATGATTTGGTCTAATAACAAAATTTAAAAAAAATTAATCAAACGCAAAACGCATTTTAAATTAAGATTGTTCTTTATCATTGTTCAAACTTAATGCCATATAGTTCTTCCTTTAAAAAATTGAATTCTTAAAGGGATCTCTTAAAACACGTGATGATCCCGGATAGTTGTGATCCCTTTAAAAATTAACATATATATAAAATGATTAATAATTATAAAGATAAATAATATTTTATTACCTTCCATAATTAATTATCAATAATGTTTTATCAAATAGAATTTTTAAACATCATATTTACTTTAAATGTAATGAAATATTATCCAAATATTAGTTTAATTTCATTTCAAGTAGTGATAAAGACATAATACATTATTGGAAAATTGGAAAAGTCATAGTTATTTCAAATAAATTATAGATTGGTAGATAAAACAATAATAAATACAAAGTGAGAATATTTATTTTTTTACCATATAGCATATCAACTAATATTGAAATATTTAGGATTAAAAATGATTTAAAAAAATATATGATCTTTCTATTTTTTGATATTAAACAACAGTAGAAATATGGTCATAACTTTATTTAAGAGCTATTAAAGGAAAAATGATATAAATAGTCCAATCAAAAAGGAAAAGGGTCAATAAAAAATGAAAAGTTTAATAAAAAAAGGATGAGGGTCATAAGAAAAATTTACATTCTAAATAGGGATTGCGTTATTTTTTTATATATTTTATAAATAATTATAAATTTTTTTTTTGTCAATTTTTCTTAAATTTTTAGTTTTTTAAATTTTTTCTTCTTTATTTCAAACTTTTTGAAATCAATTAATATTTCTTCCCATTTTTTGATAATTAATTTTTGTATTTTTAAATTTTCCTTGTAATTTTTCTAGACTTCTCTATTTTTCAGTCCTTTTTAAATATATTTTTTTTCCTTTTTCTCATCCTACATATTTTTTGATTTTTTATGATTTTTTCTCCTTATATTTTAATTTTTTAAATTTCAATTAATTTTTATTTATCTTGGGCAATAAAATTTTTATATCTAATAATTTATGCGTTAAAAAGGATAACATTATATAACATCATATTTTAAAATAAGCTATAAATCTGTGAAAAATAATTTATCTTAATCCCTTTAAAAATGCATTCTTTCATAGAGACCAAAATAATAAAGAGGAATTAAATCGTTTTATAGAGTTAGTGAGAGAGAAAAATATCAGGAGAATGCAAAGAATTAATTTGAAAATATGAGACCTTTATTTCAAAATTTAGAAGAGGGGAAATTATTAATGATTAATATAAATTTTTGCTTCTTATATGTACATCCTAATTATCTTTATATATAAAGGCTATATGCAAATTTAGCCAATAGTATTCTTTTAAAAAAATATCGTCCAATAAAAATCATTTAAAATCATAACATATAAATTAGTTACTGATCATAGTGGATTATATTTTTGTTAATATATAATTTAATACTCTATTTTATTTTTAATTATTGGAGGTTTGTACCATTTAAATTGGAAGTGTTTCATAATTAGATTTACCTAATATTAACAAATTCTGAAAAATCTAAGTTATGTAAAATTTTAATTTTAATCTACATATTAATTAGCTCCATCTAAAATAACATTATATTTGAATCGCCATTATAATTCATAATATTGAACCAACAATTTGAACCAACAATTTGAACCAACAATTTGAACCAACAATTTGAACCAACAATTTGAACCAACATTAAACTTAATCGCAATACATTATATAAATAAACAGCTATATAAAATTATACAAAATTAATGTATATATTTTTTTTACAGCTTTATCTTACGAGCAAATCGAGATTAACCATCATAGACACTTTACACAATTTATTTGTAGACTAGCTAATAAACCGTGGCCACAATCAAGCAAAACCATCAAAGATACTGTACCATTGTACGATCATCATACATTAATATTTTGTTTTTTATACTTTCAATTTACACCATTTAAATCAGGGAATTTACACAAAGACTACATAGAGCACATCAAAGATATGATACCATCATCAACATCAGTAAATTTAATTTAATAAAAATGTGCTTTATAATGTATTAATTAATTTACTGTAGTTGAAGCAATTTGTTCTTGATTTTGATTGATTTTAGGTAATATAAAAAGCATCTTTTGGTTTTGCTAAAATCATATGTATATAATTAAATAATAAGTAAACACATGAATTGATATTAAAAAAGATTCACAGCATATTAGTAATGTTACACAATACTTTAAATTTATAAAAAGCACAAAAAATTAAACACAAATATGCTTTTTATATTACCTAAAATCAATCAAAATCAACAACAGCTTCAACTACAGTAAATTAACTTATATATTTTTTTAAATTTTGCAGCACTATAATATCCACAATTTAATATCAATTCTATGTGATTAATTATTATATGATTTTAGCACTGAATTGAAATGTAAGATTATATATTGATGATATAAAATAAAATTTAACTTATTGGTTTATAATTTTTTGATACGTTGATTATTTCTTTTTCTTTGATCTTATTTAATCTCAATTCAATGTGTTTACTTTTTATTTAATTATATACATATGATTTTAGCAAAACCAAAAGAGGCTTTTTATATTACCTAAAATCAATCAAAATCAAGAAGAAATTGCTTCAACATCCCATACAGTAATATTTTTTTTAAATTTTGCAGCACTATAATATCCACAATTTAATACCAATTCTATGTGTTTATTTTTTATTATATGATTTTAGCAAAGAATTTAAATTTATTTATGATACTACATTTATTCTTTTAAATTATACAAAAAAATAAGTTGAATTCATGAATAATAAAGATTATATATTGATGATATAAAATAAAAATTTTATTGATTTATAATTTTTTGATACGTTGATTATTTCTTTTTCTTCGGTCCTTTTCATAAACTAGAATCAAAACTCAATACTGGTAGTGTGAATAAATAAATTTTTTACCACAGAATTTGCAACTTCGCATTTATAGTATATCTAGGCATTTTAGTTTTGTAAACCAGGGTTTTCCAATAAAACCCATTTTTAATTTTTGTTGAAATATTAAACAGTTTTATGCTGATGATTTAGTAGACATTTATATAATTATTGTATTAACTCTTAAAATTTATACTATTTTTAATCAAAGTACTATGTGGTGCAGTAAATTAATTTATATATTTTTTAAGGAGAAAGCTAGAAATAGAGAGGCACGTAGTCGTAGCAAGAAACGCCACTAGCAAAGTCTTATAGCTTCAACATACAACTATCTTGATGATACTTCAAATTGTATAAGCAGTGAAAATCAAAGGCAAGTTGAACATTACTGTGGGTCATTAAATATTCTATGCATATATTGTAATGCATTAAATTTTATTTCCGAAAAACCATTTGAGGGAAAATTTAAAAATTGCTGTCACAAAGGTCGTGTTTTATTGCCTTCTCTACAATCCAGATTTTTTAAAAGATTTACTTTCAAATTTAGACAATCATTATTATAAAAATTTCTCTCAGAATATCCGGTCATACAACAGTTCCTTGGCTTTTGCTTCGATGGGGGCTAAAAATGATAATTTATTAATTAAAGGCCCATACTGTTTTAGGGTTCATGGTCAAATTTACCATCGAACATCACATTTATATCCTCCTAATGGCGTTTCCCCAAAATATGCACAATTATATGTTCTTGAAACATCTCAGGCCATTGAAAATCGTTTACTTTTTAAAGAAAATTCAGCTTGTGATATTAATTTATTAAAAAAACTTGATATTTTAATTCGTCAAATAAATCCATATGCTATTAGCTTTAAAACATTGAATGAGGTTGAGAAGGCCGGAGAAATGAAAGCTCGGTTAGAAAACCGTCCTATATCAAAGGTAAATAGGATTTTTCGCCGTGATCGTGCCAATGATAGAAGAAGATATAATATTCCTACTATTGATGAAGTAGCAATGATTTTTAATAACGATGATGGAGAACCACCTTTTCAACGCGATGTTAAAGTTTATCCACGAAATGATGATTTAAATTTAGTTATCTTAAATATTCTTAGCCCAAATTTAGATCCTATGGTGTATACTTTACTATTTCCTTATGGTGATCATGGATGGCATACGGATATGAAATTTAATGGGTCTTTTAACAAGGGAACAAGATCAAATATAACTATGTTACAATTTAAAATATCAAGGTTAGCTATTCGTGCAAACACTTTTAATCCTATTCTTTATGCTGGGCGATTATTTCATCAGTATGTTGTTGATTCTTATCTCCAAGTCGAAGCTAATAATTTGAATTATATAAAATTAAACCAACCAAAATTACGTGTAGAGGAATATTCAGGTCTTATGGATCATATTTCGAAAGCATCCGATAATACTAATTTACCTCTAGGAAGAGCCGTTATTTTGCCTTCTTCTTTTCAGGGGTCCGATAGAAACATGCGTGAACGATATTATGACGCTATGGCAATCGTTTCTAAGTTTGGTAAGCCGGATTTATTTATAACATTTACATGCAATCCCAATTGGAGGGAAATTAAGGAAAATCTTTATAAAGGCCAGAACCCTTCGGATAGACCTGATTTATTATCTAGAGTTTTTCATTTAAAATTATCTGAATTATTACACGATATTATTAAAAAAGATTTATTTGGCAAATGTTCGGCATACGTTTATACCATAGAATTTCAAAAGAGAGGATTACCTCATGCTCATATGCTCATTATATTACATGAAAATAATAAAATTGAAACAGCTAAGTGTATAGATAATTTTGTTCGAGCTGAAATCCCAGATAAAAATGTCAAACCCTTATTATATGATATTGTAACTCGCTTTATGATACATGGACCCTGTGGTATTTTGAATCTTCACTCCCCATGCAAATGGTTCGTGTACAAAAAAATTTCCGAAAAAAGAATCTCAACACAATCCTAACGGATATCCATTTTATCAACGTAGAAATAAGGTTTTATTCATGTCGGAGGTAAGCCTGTCGATAACCGATACGTCATTTCTTATAACAAATATCTATTATTAAAGTTTAATGCTCACATAAATGTTGAAATATGTACTTCTATAAAATCCGTCAAATATATTTTTAAGTACGTTTACAAAGGCCACTACTGTGCTAATATAGATCTTAAAACTAATTCACTTCAATCTCGTGATGAAATTAGAATGCATATAAATGCCCGATATGTAAGTGCATGTGAAGCCATGTAGAGATTATTAGAAAATCGAATGCATGATCGATCTCACGGCATCATTCGATTAGCAATTCACTTGACATTTCATCAACCAGTGTATTTCTTAGAAGGACAAGAACGTCAGGCACTAGAAAAATCTGCTAGCAGAAATACTACATTAACTGCCTGGTTTGAACTAAATAAAATTGACGTTAATGCCCACCAATATTTATATTCCAATATACCATATCATTATATTTTCAGCGTTAATAAGTGGAAACCAAGGCAAAGAAAAAAATATAATTACAAGGATATATACGGTTGATGCTAAATCCGGTGAGAGATTTTTTCTACGTTTATTATTACTTCATGTTGCTGGCGCCACAAGTTTTGAATATTTGAGAAGTGTAAATGGAGTTTTATTTAATACATTTAAAGAGGTGGCTTTTAAAAGAAATTTATTGGTTGATGACAAGGAATGGGAAATATTTATGGAAGAAGCGTCAACATTTTTAATGCCCATACAATTGCGTCAATCATTTGCCTTTATTTGTATTTTTTGTCAACCAGAAAATCCAAATAACCTCTGGGAAAAATTTAAAAAAATATATGATAGAAGATTTCGCACATACCCATACAGATTCTTTTGCAATTAATATGGTCTTATCAGATATAGAAAAAGTTTTGCGTGACCATGGTTTTCATCTAAATAATTTTAATTTGCCTGTTCCTACTATAACAGTTGAAAATGATATTTATAATATTGAACTTGAGGCAGCTAAAGCATTGGAAATGATTTCTAAATTAAATCTTTTACAAAAATCATCTTTTGATTTAATCGTTCAATCTATCGAAAATAATGATTTTGCTCAGCGTTGTTTTTATATTGATGGTCCTGGTGGTTCTGGAATAACTTTTTTGTATAACACCCTAATGTGCTACATAAGTGGACACAACCAAATAGTTTTACCGTTTGCAACAACAGGCATTGCCGCTATTCTTTTAAAAGGGGGTAGAACAATACATAGTTGATTTAAATTACCTATTCCGATTGTTGATAACTCTGTAACTCGCACGAGTCTTCATTCCCCTGAAGCTACTGTTATTAAAAGCTCTAAATTAATTATTATCGACGAAGCTACAATGATGACTAAATACGCTTTACGCTGTATCGATAGATTACTTAAAGATATTATGCAAACACAGTTGCCATTCGGTGGTAAAGTTATATTATTGGGTGGCGATTTTAGGCAAACTTTACCTGTCATTCCAAACAGTTCAAAAGCAGATATTATTGAATCGTGTCTTAAGTCTTCTGATTTATGGGTTTATTTTAAAGTTATCCACCTGAGTGAAAATATGCGATTATCTTCTAAAGATGTTGAATATAATTCTTGGCTTTTGAATGTTGGAGAGTCTTTATCAAATGTTTACAATCCTTTACTCCCTCCAGATTCTATTGAAATCCCTAATTCATTATTAGAAAATTCATTAATCAATTCAATATATGGAACCTCCATGCAAATATCTGATATTAACTTATTTTCAAAAAATTATATTAACAACTAAAAATAATATAGCCCTAAATTTAAATAACGAAATTATTCAACTACCAGGAAATTCTAAGATATATTATAGTGCTGATTCTATACAAACAGATAATACGGAGGATTTATTTAATTACCCCATTGAATTTCTTCATTCTCAAACCCCATCATGAATGCCTCCTCATATTTTAAATCTTAAAGTTGGGACAATAATAATGCTTCTTCGTAACATGATCCCCAGCAGAGGCTTATGCAATGGGACACGCCTTCTTACCAAAAATTTACATGATAATTTTATAGATTCTGAAATATTATCAGGAACGCATAATGGCCATTGCGTTTTTATTCCTCAAATTGATCTATCCCCTAGCGATTCCCGGTTACCTTTCATATTAAAAAGACGCCAATTTCCTATTATTCCTGCTTTTGTTATCACTATAAACAAAAGTCAAGGTCAAACATTTGACAATGTCGGCCTCTTTCTTCCTGAACCTGTGTTTTCCCATGGTCAGCTCTATGTTGCTCTAACACGTTGCAGATTTTAAAAAAATATGAAAATTAAGATATTACCTACAAAAAACCAGGGCAAACTTTTGAATGATAATAGAGTATTTACTCTTAATGTCGTATATCAGGACATATTAAATGTCGCTACAAATTAATAACGATACCACATTGAGCAAAACCATCAAAGATCCGATACCATAATCAGTAAATTCTATTTTATACTTTCAATTTACACAATATATTTACAGCCAACTACAATCAACAAAATTTTAAGGCAAGCGCTACAACCATGGAAATTAAAAAAACGAATCATATTGAGCAAAACCATCAAAGATCCGATACCATTATCAGTAAATTCTTTTTTATACTTTCTATTTACACAATATATTTACAGCAAACTACAATCAACGAAATTTTGGGCAAGCGCTACAACCATGGAAATTAAAAAAACGATTCATATTGAGCAAAACCATCAAAGATCCAATACCATTATCAGTAAATTCTATTTTATACTTTCAATTTACACAAATATTTACAGCAAACTACAATCAACGATTTTGGGCAAGCGCTACAACCATGGAAATTAAAAAAACGAATCATATTGAGCAAAACCATCGATATTCCAGACGAATGCTTAAAAATCTAACATCCCTCTCATTTTGAAAATATCTTTAATCTCATTTTTAGTAAAATTTTTGATATTATAAATTTTACTATATTATATTTTATCTGGTTACAAATGCATATGTGTTGGAACCCAATAATCGTGAAGTCTTGAGGTATATACAATTATTATTATATATTTTCTTATAATTCATATCTTTGTCTCTTTTTTTCTATTTCTTCCTTCTTTTTTTCATTCTTTTTTTCATTCTTTTTTTCATTTCTTTGCTCCCCTAAAATCCATCTCCTACCTTCACGCGGTGGGGAGTGAACAGAAATGCTGACTAACAGGAGCTCTGGTGGATAATACTGGTATTTGTGGTGTCAAGTTTACATGTAATAAATCTTAATTATTGGATGAAATTTTCTTTTAACTTAGTACCTGGCACCATTAATATCCATAATCCTTTCTAACTCTAATTCCCCGTCATTCTTGACGGGTTATTAGCTAGTAATGAAATAATTTGCTATGCAAAAGATATTAAAAATTTGATTGCCAAAGAGAAATAAAAATTAAGTGAAGTTTAAAAAATAAAAATATAAGGAGATAAAATAACATAAAAATCAAATAATTCTCTCGTAGGAATAGAATGAAAGAAAGGGGAAAAAATTGTTAAAATGACAGAAAATTAGAGAAATGAAGAAAAATGATAAAAAATAATAAATTATTTAAAAAACAAAAAAAGAATTATCAATAATGGGGAGAAATATAAATTGAGAAAGGATAAGAAAAAAAAATAAATTATTTAAAGAGATTGCAAAAAGTTTGAAATAAAATAAGACGAAAATTTAAAAAAAAAACTGAAAATAAAAAAGAATATATGAAAAATTCAAGAATTAAATATTTATAAAAATAACCATTTTCCTTTTCTGAATGGAAATTTTCTTATTTGATTGACACTTTTTCTTTCCTTTTGGTAATTATCCTCTTTAATTGACACATTTTTTTAATAACTTTTCCTAATTATTTGACACTTTTTCTTTTTTTTTTTGACACTTTTCCTTTTTTATCGAAACTTTTCACGGCCTGGACTTTATTTTTTTGATTTAAACTTTCCCTTTTGTAAACGGACCTCTCCCCTTTTTGATAGGATCTTTTCCTTTTATGATTGACACTTTTCCTTTTTTGATTGGGACTTAGCCTTTTATGAATGGGAAACTTAAAGATAGAATATATATTTTTTACCTTCAGGTATCTGAACTAAATACAAAAATATTTATGATACAGTTTTTTTTTCAACTTTAAAATTATATAAATGTATCTTAGGAAATTATAACAGAGAGAATCTCTATCAGAATGACTAATATAATCATTTATATATTTATATAATGGTTTTTAAAAGAGGAATAATAATTGTAAAATATATTTATAATTCCAATTATAATTGTAAAAAGGATGTGGAGAAATATATATATACGTCCAAAGGAATGCAGTTATCAGATTATATTATGTATATGTAGGAACGGTATAGGAAAGGTAAATGGGAACACAAAAAATCTATACGTGTTTATTAATCTATAAAAGAATTCAAAATTCCCTTTAATAGAGACAATTGTCAAGTCAATTCATTACATAAATGCTTTAAAACATTCCGCCTCATGACCTAGACTCTGGCGAAATATTATAAATAAAATAATAATACTTGGAGGGCGGTCTAATAAGTATTCAAAATAAATGTAATCAAATTAAAGTCGATATTTTTGCGTAAGTAAATATTCTTTGCACAATAATACCGGCAAAATAAATTTTACTCAGATAAACTCATGGTTTTTTGGTTTTAAATAATAAAAATTCTTTATATAATTGTTTTTATTATAATTATAGATGATTGTGTAATATTTTGATCCAAAATGAGAAAATAATTTTAAGGAGAAATAGAAAATATGCAATATGGAAAATTTAATAAATGTGATTTATTAATAAAAAAGCAGAGAGATAAAATGATAATCAATTATAAAAAAATATTATTTAAATTTATAAAGGATGTGGAGTAATATATTATTACTTCAAAAGAAATTAAGTTATTAAATTATTTTAGGGAGCTGATGGAAGGGTGATGGGAAAGGTAGGTGTAGAGAGCGAAAAGTCAATACCTGTTTTTTTTTATAAAGATCTATTAATGAATTTGGTATAAAGAAGACCATTGTCGAGATCCGCCCTCTTTTATAACCTAGATCTGAGGACTAAAAGCGTATTTATTTAATAATATTCAAAATATTATTTTTAGATTTTGGATTAGCCTTTTCGAGATATTTCTTGCAAAAAATCCACGCTCCCCCTTCCCCCACCATATCTAAGAATTTTAAGTGTAACCTGTTTTAAAAGCATTCAATAAATCGTTTTATTAGCTTATTTGATATCCCTTTTTAGATAATTTTTACCCCCTAACTTTCTGCCCCTTAGTGCGAGAATGTGAAGAGAAGATTCATTTTTATGGCATTGAAAACATTCATGAAAACCATATTTAGATAAAATTATCAGATATTAGAAAGACTTTTAAACCTTCCATCTCCTCCAAGATCCCTTCTTTTATCTTATTCGGTCATTACAAAATTATTTTTAAACCCTCTGCTATGTGACGTTTTATAAAAATATAAGGTAAATAAAAAAACAAACTTAATGCACTAATAATATAGAAAATTTTTAAAATCAATAATTTCTTTTTTATTTAGTGTATATTCTGAAAAATTCTATAAAAAGTGGGAGAAAATATAATATATTATTAGATATAAATCTATTTTATTCTCAAATAAATAATATAAGTTTTATAATATTAATACCTGCTGCCGCTGCGCCTTCTTTAAATGTTAAAAAATAAAATATTTGTATTTTTTAAATAAATTCCTCTCAGCCAATTTATATATTTATCTCCACTAATCCGGGTGATTAAATTTTTATAAGCTCAGCCTACGAACTGATCTTTGATTTAAAAAAAACATTTCCTATAATTTATTTTATTAAGAATTGAACTACCTTGTGCATTGTATATAATTCAAAAATCATTATTTAATTTTTTAAGTAGTTTTGGAGATATAATATACAATATGAGAAAATCCGATTAAATTTACAAAAATTTTAATTTCAATATCATGATATGATTAATAATGATTTATAAAATTATTCGAATTTTAATAGTTATCAATTAATTATTATATTAGATTTCATTTTTAACCTTATCTAAATATTTCGTAAAATTATTCTTAACCTAACTCCTCTCCATGTGATGAAGGCCCTATCACTTTGAATTATTTATAATAAATACACTGAAAATTTAATAACATTTAATATCGTAGCTATTTAGTATATATTGTAAGAAATTAAACCATAAATTTTGAGATAATAATTAATTATTACATAATAATTTTTTATTCAAGCGAAATTATATATATCAAATAATAACATATCTGCTAACTCCTAATGATATTCAAAATAAATATGGTCAAATCGAAGTTTATATATTTTGCGAAAATTTAGAAAGCCGATTAATATTCTTTGCAAAATATTTTAAGCTAAACTCATGGATTGCCCCTTGGTTTGTATTAAAAAATTTTTACCCTATAAATTATTTTATTAAGAATTGAAGAACCCTGTGTAACGTATTGATTCAAAATGAGTATTTAATAAAGAGAAATAGACAATATACAATATGGGAAATTTAATAAATGTATAATTTATTAAAAAGATTAGCAAATTATAATCAATTATAAAAATATATTATTTTAATATATATAGGATGTGGAGAAATTTTTAATACTTAGGAATTCCGTTATCAGACTATTTTATGAAGCTGTTGGAAGGGTTATAGAAAAGGTAGGTGTAGAGAGCGAAAAGTTAATACCACATTTTAGATAGATCTATAAATGAATTCAATATTAGGTTTTAATAAGACCATCAAGATATTTCTTTGGAAAAACTCACAGCCCTCCACATAACTTGGATTTGATGACTAAAAGTGATTATTTATTTACTGATATTAAAAATATTATTTTTAGATTACTTTGGATTAGTTTTATCGAGATTATTCATGCAGAGTATCCTGACCCCCCCCCCCCCCTTATAACTAAGGATGTTGAATGAAGTTATATAAAGCATTCAATAAATCATTTTATTAGTTTATTTGATATCCCTTTTAAGATTATATTTTGGTAAATGATTTACCTCCTGCCTTCCCCATTACCAATTTACTAGACAGGTAAATGTGGAATGATGATTCATTTTTGTGGCATTAAAAAATTTATTTAAAACTATCTTTTGATATAGTCAAGACATAATAAAATTTTTTAAACCTCCCACCCTCCTCCTTACTCCATCTTTTTTGATTCAATTCGAGTCATACAAAATTATTTTAACCCCCCCCCCCCCCCCACTTGATTTAGTCTCTAGTATTTATAAATGAAATAGATAATGTAAAGTAAATAAAAAAATAAAAAGTTAAACTTAATGCACTTATAATATAAATATTTTAAATATCAATAATTTCTGATCCCTTTAAAAATTACGACATATAAATTAAGGTAGAGAGTAAATGAAAGAAGAGTTTTAATTAAGAGATTTGATTCATTTGACAAATATGATTGAAAAGGTATCAGGATTTCAAAAATTTTCGATTCTTTAATAAATTAAAATCGATATGTGATAGAGAAGAATAATTAATCAAAATAAAATTTTAAACATATACTTTTCACTTATAAAACAAGTTATTCAAGAAAATATGTTTATCAAGTTCTATAAAATTTTATTCCAAAACTTCGGGACGATGGATAATAGGTTAAATTGATACACGCGGAATAATTAAATTTAAAAAGTTATGATAAATATAATATTACATCTTATACTTCTGAAACATTTTTTAAGAATATATGTTAATTTTAATTATAAATTTCCATATAAAGTCAGTGAATTCTTGTTTACATTTATCAACAAAAAGCATTTCGAAAAATAAATATTAAGAAGAAAAGAAAACATATGAATAAAAAAGAAAA